ATCAGTTGTTGCTATGGTATGGGGTATTAATACCAGTTGTTGCTATGGATAGAGATATTTACGTTAATTGCTGCTACTAGTATATGATGAAGTATTTTATGCCTATTGCTATGGTATGGGGTATTAATACCAGTTGTTGCTATGGTATGGGGTATTAATACCAGTTGTTGCTATGGATAGAGATATTTACGTTAATTGCTGCTACTAGTATATGATGAAGTATTTTATGCCTATTGCTATGGTATGGGGTATTAATACCAGTTGTTGCTATGGTATGGGGTATTAATACCAGTTGTTGCTATGGATAGAGATATTTACGTTAATTGCTGCTACTAGTATATGATGAAGTATTTTATGCCTATTGCTATGGTATGGGGTATTAATACCAGTTGTTGCTATGGTATGGGGTATTAATACCAGTTGTTGCTATGGATAGAGATATTTACGTTAATTGCTGCTACTAGTATATGATGAAGTATTTTATGCCTATTGCTATGGTATGGGGTATTAATACCAGTTGTTGCTATGGTATGGGGTATTAATACCAGTTGTTGCTATGGATAGAGATATTCACGTTAATTGCTGCTACTAGTATATGATGAAGTATTTTATGCCTATTGCTATGGTATCGGGTATTGATGCCAACTTTTTTATCTTATGTTTATTCATTTTTATGGTATGGGATATTCAGGGTATAACAATTGAGTTATATGAGGTATTTATGACAGTTGTTACCATATTCATACAGATTGTTGCTATTGTATTGGTATGTAGCCATATATGGGGTTTTAATTCCATTAGTTGCTATGGTATGGGGTATTTATGCCAGTAGTTGCTATGGTATGGGGTATTTATGCCAGTAGTTGCTATGGTATGGGGTATTTATGCCAGTAGTTGCTATGGTATGGAGTATTTATGCCAGTAGTTGCTATGGTATGGAGTATTTATGCCAGTAGTTGCTATGGTTAGGGGTATTTGTCAATTAAAGTTGTATAAATTATTCACCATAATGAAAATGTGTAAATTTCTTGCAAACATAATATGTAATTTATTATCAATAATGTTGTACAAGATGTGCACACCATTGTTTTATTTGCATTGTTAGTAATGTAGATTAGTAATTGCATTAAAATTAACCCAATAATGTATGTCACAATATTTACATATAGATGCATCAGGTAGTATCCTTGCCATTTCTTCATTGTGCAATTATTTTCCATAAACTAAATTATTATTTGAGCTTGTTGTACAAAGACGCTTTGTTAATTAAACAACTCACACATTTCATATCAACAATGCTTTTTTTTTCTAATATTGAAACTATATCATTATTCAGTGATGTTGTTTGGATTCCTTAAAAAAAGG